GTTCGCTTGGGAATCTGGGGAAAACTATACCAGAGGAGTAGCCCTCAAGAAAAGGGTGAGAGTGGTCATTGTACCACGCACCCATGATTGAGCTGTAGAGCTCTCATATGCAGAAATATAACAGAACTGAAAATATGTATAACTATACTATATTTTTAGCTTCGTTATAACCTCTTATCTCTAATAAATTTTCATACTTGACAAATCATGATCTCTCTAGTTCAGTGCAACTAACTCCAGAATCTGAAAGAATCCCGGATGCCCCTCTAGTGGCGCACAGTGGATTGTGATTTACAGTCAAAACTAAATTCATCTAAGCTCTCTTCATATAAACGATTAACCTAAAAATACTTTATTATTGTATGCAATATAGCTGATGACAGTTGTCATTCATTTCTCAGTTTTTCTGTTCTACTGTTAAGGGTGTTTTGCTTGTATGTTTGCTTTTTAAAGAAATAAACCATATTCTTTTTTGCTGAAGAAGATTTTATACCTAGATACGTAGGTCATGCTTTCTGTGACAAAGCACCAATACAGAATGAATTTTAATGACCTGGACAAGCTGAAATAAGTTTCCACTTATTCAAATACAAAGTCATACATCTAGGAGAAATGGAACGTAGACTATATCAAACTCTACGTGATGGCTATCCAGGATGATGATTATTCTGAAAAACATATTGCAAAAGATCAAATGACTACGAATGGGCTGAATAACAGTGCATCCAAGAGGAATAGGAAAAGTATACTACTATGAAAACTGGCTGTTTCTACTGGAATACAGTTTTCAGGTCTAAAAGTCAGACGTTTCAGCTATGAGACAGAAGAGTTATCTTATAGTGAAAAGGTGAAAGAAATGAATATGTTTCAGAGATAAGTTTCTCCTTAGTAACTGTCTATACGCATGCATATTGGAACAGAAATGTGATGATAGAAACTATTCATACAGTACAGTATATAAAGGAATAGCACCCAGAGCTACTTATGAGCGCAAGCAGAAAGTAGACTATTCAGTAAAGAAATAACAGCAGTTTTTATACTTGAATATATTAGGTTATGTGATTAAAAAGCTCATCCCTGCACGGCGCACATACACACAACGGAGCAGAGGAACAAGGGCAGGTGAGGAAACCTGAATAACACCCTGCCTCAGCTACTCCCAGGGCCATCACAGGAGAGCCATCAACCCATAAAAAACCATATTGAGTTACTACCAGAGCAAACACAGTGTCTGCGCAGAGACACATATTTCTACTAAGACTGCACTTCTTCAGACCCAGATTTGCATTTCTGGCCAGCACTCCAGAAAAGTTGTTCTTAATCGCTCAGCATTCAAATGCAAACGTAAGTATCAGTCTGTAATTAAGAGTGCTTTCTGTTGTTCTATTTATATGTGTTTCGGTCCTTTACTCAAGGCAGAAAGAACAGAACACAATGACTGAAATGAACAATCAATAAGAATACCAAACAGAAAACAGAAAAAGCCCAAGTATTCACACAGACACTAAAATCTGTTCTCACAAATTGTTTGTAGAACATGTAGATAGATATAGCATTTTGTCATTTGTTACCTGCTTGAAAACCAACAAAAACATTTAATTAGGCAAGTAACTTATTCATTGTAAAATAGGTATACTACATTTGCTCCTAGGCAAATCCCTAAACAGGACAGACATATTTTGGAAGCACCACCAATTATTATCTTCCAGAGGAGAGGAATTTGGATTTCTTCAGAAAGGGATGCACTTGTCAGACTGTATCTATCATCAACAGCAAAAACAAACAAACAAAAAACTGTACAGCAGCGTAAATTCTGAGAAACAATTTCTGAATTGATGGCTGATTCTCTTTCCCATAAATTTAAGTGGTTTGCCTGGACTCCCAGGCCTCTGGCAAATGCATCTTTTAATTATCCTAGTGAAAAGCTCAGTTTAAACCTAAGGACCGTCTCCATGAAGGACGAGCTGATTGGACACTCAAGAACCCCCTGGGGGCAGGGCGGAAAAAAACACAACCCCTGTATTAGATACCCAAGAACCCTTTCTATGTTACAGCTGAAATTGAATAATGCCCATCAAATGAAGGAACTTACAGCGCAAACAAGACTTAATTGAAGTGAGCAGGACCGACATTTGTAAAGGCAGAACTCAGAACATGTTTGCTGTATATGCATAAACAACAGCAGAGCACTACATTTACAAATGTTATCTTTATGCTGTCAAGCTTTTGGACTTGTTGAGCAGATAACAAACACCCGAAGCATCTGTCCAGCAGCAGAGACATCCACCATATACAAACAAGGGACTTATTTCTGAAATATATTTTTTCCTGCACTTTCCTGTCCATAAGATATAGAAATTCCATGAGCTGCTATCACAAGAAGGAGACTGTTGCATGTACCAAACCAAATAGGAAAGTAAGAAACAACTGAAGCACTGGGATACACCCAGTATGAGATGCTTTACGAAGAAAAATTATAGGAAGCAAGAACAGTAAGGTAGCAGACTCCTCTACAGGGGAATGTCTGCAACCTGACAACTGCCAGAGCTAGCTCTGCTGCCCACAAGCAAAATTTCTGATGCCAGCAAGCTGTGGAAAAAGCAAATTCTCTTCAGTATCAAATATGAATTCTAGATACAGAGACTGTCTACTGCTGAATCCATTAAAGCAATAGTAATCAGTTTTCCAGATGAAAAAGAATAGTTATATAGACCAGTAAATTAAAACTTAATAATAAAGAAATAATTAATTAATAATTAATAAAAGAATATGAGATCGATAGTCACAGTCTTTGGGATTTGTAGTCCCTATTCATTAGGTCAGCTTCTGTTAATGAGGTGGCAAAAAGTAAAACATAAAAAAAAAAAATTTATTCTCTACACTGAACTGAGGATAAACCAGCCAAAAGTAAATTACTTTAAAAAAATTTATCATTAGCACCCTCATACAATGCACTGTGGAAAGTGTTATTTTTACTGATGTTTACTGTAATCTTTAGAGCAGCATGCTATAAAATGCTTTAAATACTTTGCCTGAGGCCCATACCCAACCATCTTAATTACAGTTATCCATTCATCACATGTTCACCATGTTCATGACATGAACTACAAGTTAAATGGTAGAATTTACACTAAAAAAAAAAAAAGAGTTTTAAAAGCAAATTCTAATCACATTTCAACTTCTGAGCCTAAGACTCTTTCAAAGTGTAACGCATTTTCAAAGCTTAACGCTCTTTCAAAGCGATTACACGTTTCACATGTATTACAAGTAGCATATTATTATGGTGTTGTTAAGCCTGCTTCACTGAGTTGTTTAAGAGACTGCCATAGACAAAATGTGTCATAAATATATTGAAATTTAGGGAACAGTTGCTCTTTGTTATAAGATTCCCTCCAGTTCTGCTTTCCACAAGATAACTACTGTTCAAAGTGACCAGATTCCATTACCTTTAACTCACACTATTCAAATGGCTTTTGCACTATTTAACTGTAAAACCTCCTGTAAAGTAACAAGTCAAAAAATTCCTGGGCTCCCAAACACTCTGGCTGCAGGGACAACATTGGTTCTGCAGCTGAGCTATAAAACTGGGTACCATTATCTATAAATGTTTCCGCCAGCAAATGCTTCAGACATAAAAAGTTCTAAGTCCTTCAACTGAATTATCTTTCAGTGCTCTGCTCTCCTGAGTAACAGTGAAAAACTCATTACATTCTCAGCTTTGAGCAAATCTTCCCCTGGAATCACTTGAGAACCATTTGAGTCCTTCCCTTCCTCTTCACGATTCTCATAAAAGGTTTTTTCTTCCTCTCTCTCTGTAGCAACATTTGTCCTTGCTTTCTTTGTAAGCAGAAATTAATCTCTTGTTCTCTTTGTTCAGCCAAACTTGGAGCAGTAACCTAAGCAGCACCCTGTCTGCATGCTGAGCTCTTTTCTGCTAGGGACTCTCTGGGCACAGGATAGAAACTGGGACTAGAACAAGCCTGGGACTTTCTAAGAGCACCTTCCAAATTGCTCTGGATTTTTTTCTGCTTCTGGGCCCTGCTGCAGGGAAACACCTCCAAATAACTGGTCGAGGGGGGAAGCTCCTCCTCACGGTAGGAAATTCATGGATGCATTTGTATCACCCTGATGAGCATACAACAACAAACAACAACAAACCCCTTCTTTATCCCACTTGGAAAAAGAAATCTTGATCAAACACCCTAGTGAGATTCTGCACTGGAGTCTAATAATAAATCAAAACAGAATAGGACCAAGCATAGTTTGTTTACCAGGAAATTTGTACGTACCAAGCTAGCAAACTACTTGCCCATGCTAAGGTGAGCAGCACAGTTAAAACAGAAACGTCCACATAGATTTCCAGATTCAGACTTCCATTTATCACAGAACACACTCCTATGGTCATGACATAACCGAGGCTTTTACTGAGTTTCCTGTTTGCTACTGTCTAGTCCTCTGTCCATCTTTCTCAGGTTTGACATCAATCTCTCCAAAGAGAATAACAGAAGTGTCATAAAGCAAGCAGACTATCTTGCAAAGCAGAAGGAAAAGCAACTCTTGAAAAGCAGAGTAAAAGAGAAACAAATGCACCTTTTCTAACTTGCACCCATCTTTTCTGCTATTTGAGACTCTATGCCATCCTAATATCAGAAGAGGGGAGAAAAAATACAGAGTTTAATTTTAGGATAAATTACAGTCCTTACTTCTACAAAAAAATACAGCATAGAGTTTAGTAACAACTAAAGTAACAACTATAAGGCTGTTGAGATCACAGCCATTTACAGCGGGAGAGCTCCCACAGTCAAGTGTGCAACCCAAGCAGCATAAAACATGGTAAATCAAGGGCTGTATTGGAAGTCCACCGCAATTAAGTGTTTTGACTCTTACTAATAAAGTTCCTCGACTTACATAAACATAGCAGTAACAGAGCTAAGGAAATATCTGCCCCAAAAAAACAAACTCTTAAACCCCGTGCCCTAGCTTCAGCTGTGAAATCTCACCGCTTTCCTCGGTGCAGGCATCCTTCCTCCCGCTGCGGGCTGCTCCCCGGCCGCGTGCACGCGCCGCGCACAACCTTGGCAAAACCCACCCCAAGAGCTTTGGGAGACCAGAGCGCAGAGGCGGGCGGCGGGG